TATATATATATATATATATATATATATATATATATATATATATATAATATGTATATATAGTTACTATTTCTTGTTAGCGCATTAAGTTCATGCAGATAGAAACACACGAAATATTCTGTTACTACAATACACTCTCAACATAAATACACACCATACTGCATTTACTCGATTTAGATCCTTAAATGTGGTTAAACCAGTCCATAGAGTAAGAAAAGAAAAACTTAATAATAATAATGATAGGTACACCAAGGAAAGTATAAATAGCTAGCAGGTCTGACAGCAGCGAGTGGCGCCTGTCGGAGAGCTTAGCTATGCTGGACCTTCTGGCAATCCTTGGATAGAAAATTCCAAAGACCGTGGTTATCCGGGCGACATCAATCGTCCGCCGCTACCTTAGCACAAAGAGAGAGGTAGTGTGTTGCTAGTTAATAATGCGATCGACTATGAGTACCAGAGTAACGAAATTAACACTACAGGTATTGTACCTACGTAAGGTCCTATATTAAAAAAGTCCGTTTCCTTAATTGGTCCTACTGGGAATCACACCCAGAACCTTGTCTTTTAGCGCCCATGGCACTAACCGCTGGCCCACAGTGGTCGTCAAATATTTTACTACTTTCAAATATTTTTATTTAATAAAGGTTGACTCTACGATTTCGAGCAAATGCCTAACCGCGGCTGCATGCTCAATCTTGGTACAAGATTTATTGCTCGTCATTGATTTTCACAAAGAAATATTGCTTGGTGGCCAGGTGATTGAAGTTATCAGGCACCCGACGGAGCGACCCGAAAGCGGCCGGGGTTCAGGCTCAGGCACCGCGCCTGCCGACGAGGAACGGTATCGTGAACTCGTTCAAGAAAACGAAGATCTACAGAAGCTAATAGCACAGGTAACACGTCATACAACAACGCAGATATATTTATGTAATAGCAATAATGTTAAAAGCGCTCACATTTCATTATACGCATCAACAACACAATTTATGGAACCATTATCACTTCGCATTATTAAATCAAAACCTGTATATAACATTATTTTCAATGTAGCGTATCAACGCTGCCTGTTATGTTTTACATAAGTACGTGGATATAAATTCAACATTTAAATAGTTTTAGTATTATCAATGCATGAGTGTACGCCGCAACAGTAAACACGCGAGTATGCGGCTTACTCTCCGCGTATTAATTGATTATAACAACACGCAACTACACCAGACTAGGCCATATCAAACATGATCAAATCAAATCTATTATTTAGTGACCAATTATGGAATTATAGTTGTGCGATAGTAGCGCTGATATCCAATATTATTTATTGGCGGACCTTGCGAAATCAAATTTTACGATCTTAGGTATCACATCTCGCCTCGGCATAAAAGCCTACAATATATGAGAAACGTTATTGTTTTAATTAAACCAAACAGCAAATTCTTAGTCGGAAATGAAACTATTTTTCCGGATTTATATCGCGTATATTTGTTTTTTCAAATGTTTGACGTGTGACGAAATACCTAGTAGTTAAGTAACATACCTATAGGTATAATTACATACTCTTGGAAACAATCGAAAGTAAACTTTAAGATGTGCGTGGCTACAGATTGATGCAATTATTTGTTAATCTATAGGAAATTAAACTATTTTTTCGGATCAAAATCACGTATAGTTGTTTTTTGAAACAAGCGAACGTTTCGAGCCATTTCCAGTCCGACGGTCACGAATCATTAACCTGTGGACCTGTGTGACCGTGGAACCTGTAAAGGGGCCGAAATATGCGGATTTAGACAAAAAACATAGTTTTTTCAAAATCGAATTTCATCAATTCATCAATAAAAATTTCATTTCCAATGTGTAACAATCGCGAAAACCTAAGAACTCGATATTTGTTAATCTTTTGAGATAAATAAATGATTTTAGCATTATTATTATACATTAATTAAACTGAAGACTAATATATATACTACCTATTGATATAATCGAAAGGTTTGGTGGTACGTAATAAAGAACAGTACTTAGTGACATATGGTTTACAGAAAGAGGAGCGGATTCGTGTGCTGAAGCAGAAACTAGCAGAGCGCGAGGCGGCGGCTACTGATGTGACGCAAGGTACGGGCGGCGGCGGGGGCGGAGTGTTGGCCGACCTGGCCACCGCCACCTCTGACTATGGCACCTCCACCAACTACACGCGCTCCTCGCGTGCCTCCGTCTCTGACCTTGATTTCTCTGAGAGCTACCTTTAATCCCTTGCAACCCCTTCACCTAAATGAGTCGACATGCCACTTAATTTTCATAACACCCATTCTGATTCCGTAGATGTTGGAGATATCAAATACGTTTTCATATCATGTAGATGTGACGCCAAAAAACATGCTACGTACAACGATTTAAACGATAAGAAGTTATGTAATTTTAATCGTAATTAATTTTTAATTGATTTTTTATTTCATTATCTGCAATTAATAAAATAAAAATTCGAACACAAGAACCTAAATTTTTTTTATTTTAAGTGTAGTAGTTCCCAGTAGGTATCTTGATTCTCAACAAGTTTTGCTCTTCTAAGACAAATTTCACATTACACCGTCTAAAGAGCTTGCATGTCTTCTCATTTCCAAAATAAAAAAAATCCGTTGACCAATTTCCGCACTCGTTGACCCGTTCTCCCGTAGAAGGATTAACTAATAAGTAGATACATACCTACTTTATTTTCAATATCCCTTTCAATGTTAACATAACATTATTCCTATCTTATTCTCCAACATTTTGAATTTACCAAATTTAGTAATACGTTAAGTGTGAAAAGAATCTGAACGGCTAAAGTAACCAAAACCATCTGAAAATTCTTAACTATCGGAGCGTTCAACATACATGTAAATTTTACGAAAAAAAGAAACAAAAACCAAGCCCATGATTGACTTATGATTTATTTCTACTCAATTGAAAAATGTAAAAAGTATTTTAAACAGAATATCAAATGTATTTTGAGCCGTCTAAATGATTCATAGACAGAGGTGACCACTATGGATGTGTAAATATTCTTGGTTAGTTGGACTTTCCAGGGGGCCTACCATAACCTTTCCAAAAACAATCTTATTTCAATGTAAGCTTATTGTAATATTACTAATATTCGTACCATGACGAACCTGTCAACCAAGTAATGTATTATTGCAAAAGTGATTGAAAGAACGAATGATTTCCCAATATTGTCTATTCCTTACTAAAAATAGTAAAGAGATAACGCTATGTGAACTATATAATGACATCTCTTTCTTTTTTGATGTTCCGAATCGTAGTATAATGTTTAAATACTTAATGTTATTTACATTCAGAGAATTTTGACTATTAAGAAAAGAAAAGTATGTAATAATAAAATCTATTAAAATTACGTTGTTTACAATTCCGCATTTACATGAAGAAAAATAAATAAAACAAGCAGAGTCTTGATAGTCTTGTTGTGAGTTCGGAACTATAGTCTGGTGTCAACTGTTAATTTCGCCAAGGAGAATCTATATTCTATCTATCGCCATCTATATGGCGCTGTTAAAATTTTAGGAAATAAACATCGCGTATTTCTATTTAACGAAAAATTATTTACGATGTGCTATTAAATAAAAAATAAACAAAATATTGCAGAGATATATGTAAATAAATAAGTTCAACTTAGCTTTTAGCTTACAAATCAATATTAAGACAATAAAACTGAAAATAATATTGTTTCCATTGCATCCGAGTAACTATTTTAAATTTGACATAAGAGCAATATTACTTTAATGTTAAAGTCGCGTCATAGTACGAACTGAGTGGATGAATAGTCACAAAGCTGCCAATAAAACGTCATAGTTTAAACATTACAATTAGCTTACTTTAAGCGCGTTATGGTACGTAAAGTCAATGTAAGGTTAAAGTAATATTGTTTTTAGAGGTTGTGGTAGGCCCCCAGATTAATTTAATACTGAATGGAATAAACAATTATATTTCACAAAGAATTTAGTTCTAGGCAAACATTGTTTCTATTTAATCAACTTAGGTTGTTCTCAGAAAAACAGATTATAAACCCGAAAAGCAGTGTCGTTTTCTTTATGTGCATCAAGACCTCAGTTCAATGCACATAATCATGAGCTTATATCTTTGTTATGAAAATGATCCTCATAAAGTAAAGGTTGATTTTCTGTCCTTGTCTTATGAAAACCATTTTCGTAGATATATTTACTTATGCCGTTAAAAGCACTCCCCTAACTTTGAAAAGATCTCAACTTGAACATTTAGTTACTAATGAAGAAAAATTTTTCACTAACATTACTAGCGTACCAGAACCTTCGCCTGAGTAATTCCGGAAAATAAAATTAAATTTCTGCAGTTCAAAATTATAATTTAAGCGGCGGCTTATATGAATCTGGGAATACACTTTATTAATACACTGCAGGTATGCAATATATCCTTAAAATAAAAAACTCATACCTCCTCATAATGTTATATAGAAATAAACCTCAAGAAGTTCACGTTTGAGTGTTCTGGCCGCGTTATAGAAAATGTTCAAAACAATGTTGAGTTCATATTACTTGGCTTGCTCAACTATTCGTACATTGTCCGATTGCTCTTCGTCCCACTGGAGCCGTGGCCTTATATGTTGGTTCCACTTGTGTACCCGCACGAAACTTCTTGGCTCATCTCTTTTCCCGCACTCAGGAAAATAGACAGCCAAAAACGCTCGTGCAATGTCGTGTAAACTCAACTCTACACACAATCTGCAACGAATGCACGCGTCTTGTCTACCTACCTGACTACTCCTACTAGACTGACTTAGCGTACTTTTAGCGATATTAACTTATCTCATAATTTATTCTAATTAATAATGGTACTCTAACCTGGTAAACTATAAATAATGGTACTCACTTTTCTAGCTGTTCTCTGTACGAGTGTAGCATAGCTATTATTTTTGGTCGGCCACTGTGCTGCAGAGGCGACCTCTACTATTTATTGCTACAGAGATTTATCTTTATACTTACTATTAAAATATAATAATATTAAAAACACAAATGTCCTCAATTGTCACATTCATATTTTATTGGCACAAGTTAAATTAGATAGTTTTAAGCTCGAGTTAATGTTGCCATGTTGAAATTAGTTTTAATGATTTTAAGCTATAGATCACTTATGAAATTTTACCATTGTACATTCTCATAAAGTTATATTTTATTGCATTATTTCGTAAATATTTTTAGATTCTTCATTGTCTCATTGAATTCATGCAGTCAAATCTCGTTATAACGCAAAATATATGTAATGTAATCGTTATCGAAAATACTTAAGCTGTAAAACAACATGTCAAAAGTAAATTGTTATTATTTGAAAATAGACCACAATTCTTTTATTTCGATAATTGTAACTTGGAAGGGGAGAAAAAGATCATTGAGTCTCAAAGATCACAAATGAGTGAAGTATAAAAACATACATATGTCTACACATATGTAGAGGCTAAGAATCCGTGAATAGGTATGTTACCCTGGTAGATGTTGTGTAAGTAGTTTGGAGATGTTGTCCCGGCCCCGTAGTTACCCGTACTTGTTTTGTGTTCCAACGACTTGCATGGTACTACCTACCCTCACGCCCACAGCTGCACCTTTGTATCCCACACGGCTAAAATTCTGTAGAACTACGTCACTATTTGCATACCTCCACGCTGCTTGTTCGCTAGGAAATTGCGTTTAACTTTCTAACTTTTAACTATATACAATAGTTATGTACAATTTAAGTATTCACAAAAGTTCTACAGAATACGCCACACAATCTGAAAAAATATTAGCACTGTATTTTTATTTAAAACATGTTAAAGTAATAAATAAAACGGTCTAAGGCGTAAGTAGTACAATAACCAATTTAATTATATTCACTACATTACGTTAAGAAATTAATTGTATACACAAAACATAAAATGTATGCTGCATATACGCGACACAAGCAAATGTGATTATGTAAATAGTTGAATGAAGATAATATAGGATTTTACGATAATCCATTAAAAATGCTAAGTAACGAGATTTCCTTGCATGGATGTTGTTGTTGTTACGTGTATGCTTGTTACCTGAACGTAATAACATAGGTACTAGTATGATCGTGTATTATCAATAAAACGTGTCACTCGTGAAAATAGTCATTGTTGAGCCATAATGCTTTTGAAAAATTATTTTTTGTTGTCGACATGCATCAGTGTTGAGATTATTCTGTAACTTTATTTCGTGTCATATTTCCGCGCTCACTTTCACGATTTTCGATTTCATAAATATTAATGAAGGGCGTAGCCAAGCTTTGAAGAAGAAAAATATTATTGTAATGAAGTTCAGTAAATGTTTGCTTTATTATTTTCGAAAAAAAAATGCCAACTTCGACTATTGCCAGACAAAAGAAATGGAATTCAATAAAAATGCGATGGAATATTTTAAAATATTTCTTCACTTCGGATTATTGGTTCATTGATAAAATGGATTGAAATAATTGCCTTGCTTAAATAAATACGACACATACTCGCAGCTGCATGGTTACGCCCCTTATTTCATGTGTATAACAATACTAAAATACGTTTATTCATGTTATGAATCGAGCCTATTACGTTTAATAAATTGCCTTAGCATTTCTTTCGCTTAGATATTTTCAGTAACATAGACATAACATCGGAATATGCAAAACAAACGACGTTCTAATTAAATAATGTTCTTTTTCTCTCTCGGCAGATGTACAGGATGAACACATCTAATCGCCCGCATGGCAATCTCCGATAGAATCGTACTAGTATAAAATAGTTACGTGATTAATGTTGACTATAGAACTAATGAATCATTGCTGTAGCAAACTTCTTTATGGTTATTTATTGATAAGAGATAAAGTGTTCTTATATACATAGTTAGATGACTGGATGACAGTAAATTCAAATGTGCGAAACATTAGATTGTATTTATTACACGCGTTAATTTGTTATGAGTACAATGTACATATTTAGTTTTATTGATAATCCGGTTAGGTAATTATACCTGCAATTGGTAATGTGATTTTGATGACATAACTTTGAAGATAAGATGTTCAAGGCAAAAAATCTTTTTTTCGTAGCTCTATAACATTTCCTAGCGATGTGCGAACGTATAACGTTCGTAGCTACTAATACTACGTGTAACAAGCGTAGCACAAACATTTTTCCGATATTTGGGCAGCAATATGTGCTCCATCAAGGAAAATAATTTTCCCTTCGCTTGCAACACAACATTTGCTATTGCTTGAACAGCTAATTTATTAAATATATATCTAGTGCTAGGAAAGTAGAGCGTACCAGTTACAATTAGATTAAAAATATTCATTTATTTTCCGTTATCAAATGTTTTCTAATTTTAAAAAGATGTATCACCGTCAACACATATAAGTCTCGCTGCTGAGCACGGATATGCTCAGTGGCACGTATTTATATGATACATAAGTGTATTTATTTAAATAGTTTTAATTATATCAATTAAATTGCTTTCGGTGCAAATGGCTTTTTGTAGGTTAGAGACCCCTACTCCGTAGCGCATGGATATGAACCTCGTCGGAAGGCCACAGTTAATCGGGCATAATAATATAGTACATAAATGTGTTTAGGACAACTTGTCCCCGTTTTAGTTAGTTGAAGCTCTCATTTCCGGTTAAAAAGTAATAAAAAGTTGCTGCATACCATATCTGGTTACTTTTAGATGGTTTAGTCGTCAAGATCGCATGACCAAAGTTTTGTACACGAGCTACTAAAAGGTATGCATCACATGAAAAAATAATGTTGTGCAATTAAAAAAAATCTATGTTTGTTATTAATTATTAACGGATCGTTGCTCATTTATGTACCTAGTTAAAAGTATGAAATTACTCTAAAAAACATTTAATTCCCAATTTTCAAAGTTTGGAGATTTACAGGTATTCACAATGTAAATAAATATAAAACCTTACCAATTTTACAAAATAGACAAGCTAACAATCTAATAATTCCCATCTCACACTTCTTCTACTTCTTCCAAATCGGTTGAAACTTACCACGTAAACAATGGTTTCAAACGATCATATATATTTCTCATCAACCATATTAAGTATAATGGACCACCTAAATTGCAACATAAATACATAAGACTATTTATTTTTTACATATAACAAGGACAAACATTCAAATAATAGTTACAAAACCTGCTGAAAACCAAATGTGGCTCAATATCCGTGATTTTGGATGCCAAAATGAAATAAAACTTATTTAAATTAATATGAATTGTATATTTACCTCGTAATAAAATTATTTGTTAGAGAATTTCAGATGTAATATTTATCCGTCAATATACAAAATCTACTTAGACTATACCGATGTTGCAGCACTGCCAATTAATTAATACTTTAGTCGGAACGTATGTAAGTTAGTAGATGTAGTAATAGCTATAGTACATTTATATATATACTTTAGTTACAATATGCACCATTGCCAATGTTTACAATTATTTTGGGCGGGTACAACACTGCGAAAAGCTTAAAATCATAAAGTGTGAGTATGATAAGTAATATTTACAAATTGTCCGCGTATATCGTGGTTTTTTGCAACACTGAATGATAAGTCCGGCTCTCTCAGATTGGTTGTTTCCGAATCTCTTTTTGGCTGGTGTTCAACTTGTGCGAGCTGCTTTATTTCCGGCGCCTCAGAAGAATGCTTCATCCGAATATCACTCCTATTCTTTTATAAATAAAGATAGTTAATAGCGAGGAAATGTTAACTTGGACTATGAACCTATTTGTTTAATACGAAAGATACGCAACGTCAATGAAATTATATCGCGAATTTGGCCTTAGTCAAGATTTGACTGCATAGAATTACTCAAATTTCTTTTTTTAAATGTTAAGAATATTGTTTAGAAAAGTTTAAATACATTTAGGAAATCGTTGACGTTCTAAATTTTATTGGTACTTCGAAATAATGTAACCGTTTGTGAGATGAACATTTTAAATTTTACAACAATGTCACGTCTCTGCTAACGGCCCTGGATCGTTTTAATAGATAGATTACTTATTTAGAATGTTAGTGAAATAAAATGTCATTATTATACACTTAAGCTTCATAATTGGTCAGTTTCCTGTGATCTTCATGTTTGGTTGTATTAATCGTTTCACAGAAAAGTTGTCACTGTGTAAATAAAGACTCATCGAATGATCTGAATGTACAAAATTGTTTTATTTTTAACCGACTTCAAAAACATACGGAATATTTTTTTGTGTATCTTACGCGATTAGTCAGGACTAATATTTGTGAACCGATTTTGATGATTCTTTTTTTGTTGGAAAGAGGGTACCTCTATATTGGTCCCATTTAAATTTGAAGAAAATATTCCACCTGTAAGGGTAGCAAATTTAAAATTAGGTTTTTGGACTTCAACCACTTCCCGTTAACCCTGTTCAATAAAACTTGACTTGACTTGGGTTATTTATTTTTTACAAAAAAGGTATGATTGTACTTTATATTGTAATCAACTTCTTGTATGCTTGGAATGGAATTATGATTTTCGTATGTTAGATGTATCTCATATATCATGTCTCAGCTAGATTGAGGACATCCCCAAAAACCTCAGATCAAAAATAACAAGAATAAACGGGTGTATATAAAAGACGGATGCGAGTAGAAGAAGCAAAAGAGGCATATTCGGGTATTTTTCGGGTTAGTTTTCTTTACCTAATTTCGGTGGCAATTTGAAATGTTGTAGAATATTATCATGAAGTATTGTTTAATATTCGAGTGTAGTAACGTGAAACATCATTTAAAATTTGACGATAATTTACTGGAAAACTTAAATAATAAGAATTGCCACCGAAATTAAGTATTTAACACTAACCTGAAAATTCGCCATTCATATATTGCCTACTTTACTGTTCTCCTTGTCATAGGTGACGCATTTGCATTTGGGTAACTTTCCAGATATTGGCGCATTTTTTTTTCTTTGTAAAATGTCAATTGCGCTGAAGTTGGTTAACTACAAAACTGAAACTAAATAAGATATAACAAACCGCTTATAGGGGGTTATAAATCAAGTTCCGCTGATTCCATATATGTTAATTTAATAACGTAATTTCGTTAAAAATGTAGATTAGGACTCGTAGTTCGTGACAAATAGTTGTGATAAGAAGGACAGAGTGATAGGTATGAAAGTCTATTAATACATCGTCGGTGTTTTGTAGAAAGGGCGAAAGCGCCATTTCAGAAAAAAATTCAGATGAGTAGGTTTTAGGTTTTAACGACTGTTTTAAAATTACGTCCCGTTTTAAAATTGAATTTTGGTTTTAACTAAGTTTAACTTTTAAAATTGGATTATAATAATAACGCACACACTCAAGATGGCCCCGCACTAGGGTAACCCTGTGTCGCGGGTGCAATGGACACACACATAGACAACCACAAATTACACCCAAACTCACGAAAGAAATAAATGTAAGCCATACAAATATTTCTCTCGGCCCGGGAATCGAACGTGGGACCTCTGCGTGGCAGTCCGGCATGGTAACAGTTCGGCCATGGAGGCAGTGAATTTAATACAGGACGTAAATATTTTTTAAGTCATGAAAAACTAAAATACAAGCCACCCTAAAAAAATTTTAAAAAGGCGTTTTCGGCCTTTCTACAAAATACAGACGACATGTGTGTACACATCTTAAGAAAAGCATGCCGTTCATCAATAGAGTGAACGGAGCTATGTGACCAAGTCAGTGATCAGTTCGTGCCTAGGATCGGCGCTGAGTCATTTTTCACTTTAATAATAGCCGAGAGGCGGCTTCGCGTCGGGCCCAAGCCGATGTCTCAGGCTTGTAGACACAAAGGACCTCTGCTATGTCATCGTGCGACAAAGGGTGTCGTCGCAGGCTAACATACATGCCTACACACATACAAGTAAAACCGCATTGAAGCGGTCCCTTACATGAGGAACATAGCGACCAAAAATTATCTGTATATTTTTTGTCATGAACGCTCGCTATTTACAATAATAATTTGTTTCTACACTTAAATCTAAGTACAGGTCGTCAGTTTGACACCAGTAGAGCTCCTTGTGAAAGAGTACATTTAGGGAAGTACTCCACCTTGCCTATTTCTGCCGCCAGTAATGTTAGTTAGCATTACTGTGTTCCGATTTCGAAGGGTGCTGGTGAAATTACAGGCACATAGGACTTAATTCTCAACTTATGTGTCAGGGTGACGGGCGCAGTGGCAATGCCCCTCTGATCTTTGCGATTTAAAGCTCTGAGTGGCACTGCAACAGGGTTCATCCCGTCACTTGATATTGTAAAAAAAAACAAATGAAATCATGTTTTAACATTAATCGTTGAATAGTAGCTTAGTTACAACATGTAAGTATTATACAAAACACTCCATGGTAGTACATACAAATAGAGTTTACCACAATACAATAAGCTAGCCACGATGCTAAAAGCACTTCATTTCCACTTTATGTACTTTAAATTTGTTCTTTAAGAACTTTAATCACAACCACTCCTCGTAATAATTAACCAGAAAACTCAACCCCACCCCAACGTGTAACTGTTTTAAACATTAAGTTTTAAAACTCAATCAGTTTCTCGTCTGAAGAAGTGTTATTGTTCAGCTACATAAATTTTCTCGTTGAACGAGGTCCCTTCTAGAAAGTTATAATTTCGAGCTATTTGACAACCAGCTACCCGGCTCCCCGGTTTGTTGGTCACGTTGCCGCAGGCCCAGTTATCTACACTTGCCTTTACACTATGAGTGAAGTATACATATTATTATTCTGAGAATCTGAGAAACAATTAACAAAGAAATTCGGCGTTCAAGTAATTCCGAAACATTAATGTTGAGTTTAAACCTATATAAACATTGTTAAGGGTAAAGGCTAGGGATTAAATAAATAATTAAAGCAAATATCCAAAAAAACTTCGGCAGTTCAGTTTGTGTTAAGCAAATTTAAATTCTGCTAGTCGAACGGACAATATTTTACCACAAGGTAACTTTGTTTCACCGACATTTTTATTAAAGCAGCAGATTTTGTCTTTTGGCGAGTGCGTTAATTCCGAGCAAACAGGAGCCCAAACCGCAGCCGCATCCGGCATACCAATAAGAGGCGTCCTAAAGGTAAACAGCAATTCGTCCAGACTCGCAGTCACCACGGACTAATTAAAAAGAGACGTGCCCTAAAAACGTCGACATTCAGCAATGCTTGGAAATTCAGCTAATTGGTCTTAGTCCGCTAACTTACGCCAAATAGAATAGGCAAAGTGGATGTAAAGTTTAGTCCTACAGGTATCACGCGACTTATACAAACATTAATGGGTATGTATGCAGATATGCATTCATTATAGAACACACGGCCGCAGTCATTCTAAAGTCTCTGTGTGCTAGTGTAGGGTAGGTTTACCGAAAATGGGAAGCTTTGAATAAGCTTTACAAATTACTATTTAACCGTTAAGGTATGGCAAGATTTTTGTTTCATGTCAAAATTATTTAGAATCATAATGTGTAACACGAATGCGTGGCGTTACTTCCTGACTTCTCTCCAACACTCTCTTCAATTCTACATCAGTCTCGCTATTCTAGTCACAAACACATCACACTGCGTCGGTACAGCGAGAGAGTTGAGGAGTGTAATCGCGTGAAAAATGAGCGAGTAAAACTCGCCTCCGATATTGTCACTGTTTGAACGATTTACAACAATGACCTACCAACGAATAGACGTCTGGTCCGCGCTTAAGTGTCCGAACCGAAAGAGTAACAAATCGCAAAAAGAGAAACAATCGCGTGTCAGTTTTGTTTGGTCGTACTGCAGAATGAAAACTTGTAAAAACTGCTCAAAGAAAGTGAAAAAAACGAGATTATGTATCATACTTTCAGTAAGTAATATGTTGTGTTGTCATGTGGTAATCATTTAAAAGTGTTATTTTATTTAGGAATATAGTATTTAATTTACATTTGAAT